CTGAGCCTTTTCCTCTTCCTCTTGGCATTAGATGCTATAATGAAGCGATTCATGGAGGGACCGCTGGGGACCGTCCACTACGCCGACGAAATTGCCCTGATAGCGGAGAGCAGAGAGGAACTTCAGCACAAGGTGCAGGATTGACAGGAAGTTCTGGCAGTAGGCGGGCTCGGCTAAATGTAAAGAAGACCAAGTTCCTAAGTTCTGGCGAGTGGACAGAGTCAATCATGGACCGCCATGGAGAATCACTCCCACGGTATCGGAAGAATGGAGAAAAGAAAGGATCGACGCGGCTGAAATGGAGGGTGTTCACTGGGACCTCTGCGATCGAAGTTGCTCCAGAACGTTCAAAGAGGAAGTATAGCGGACAAAGGTATGCAAGGCTTGCGATGCTTTAGGGCAGCGATTGTTGGCCTCTGAACAAAACCACAAAAGGCAGCTTCACTTCGCCGAAATGGGGTGCTGATATGGACCTGCGCCTGGAAACCGCTGGACAGGGTCAGAAACGAGGATATCAGAGCGGTCATGCAGACACCCCTGTCCCTGAATATCGAAAGCAACACCTCCGATGGAATAGGCACGTTCCAAGGAGGCCACATACTTATCAGTAGTGGACTTCGAAGCGCAGCGCAAGAGAGAGGAGCTGGGGAGACGTGCTCAAGAAGGATCTAAGTGAGGTCACTGCCACGCTACGCAAGAAGAAGGAGAAGAAAACTTGGGAAGGATTCTAAGTCGCTCTTCACAGAGGCGCTTCGGGTCCCACCGGTTGCTTCTGCTCTTACAAGTACGGACTTGTACTGCTACGAAGTCTAGATCGTCGTGAGATTCTTCTAATTCCACTTCCACTCCATTTGAACTAACAGATCTTGAATCGCGATCGCGGTGGATTTTGGAAGTCCGCCTGTTCGCACCAGCGATGGCAGAGGCGATGTGCAATAGCAGCAACCAGTAGCTGCCATTGTCCAAGGGACATCCATCTTGTTTTTTTTTTGCGAATTTGGAAGCTTCGACCTAACTGCAAATAAAAATTTTCATCACTAGGATGGACCTTGGACCATTTCCTCGCCATTTTTGCCGGGAGACGTACGTTTCTTCTCGTGGGTTCAGGTCACCACAGCTGGCGTGATCACTGAAGTTCGAGGTTAGGTTTGGGTTCAGACTTAGGTTAAGGCTTATGCTTGCGACTAAGCCTATGATTGAGCCAAGGCTTAGTGAATGAACCGTCTCAATTTTGAGCTAACCCCACGGGGAGAAACGCCACGCACCCTTTTGGCCCTCGCGGAGCCGCTCAGCGAAAAGGACCCTGGTTTTGTAGTCCACGCGTGAGCTCCTATAACGCGCAAAAAACCCTTTAAAAAAGCCTCCCAATCATAATGGACCTCCCTTGATAGTAGAGGGCGCAGACGACCAGGAAACAGGTGCTAAATAGCGCCAACGACTAAAACGAATGTCGCATTCGTAATCAAGGCTCAAATAACCTCTATATACAAGTTTGCAGTAATTTGATGAGCTTCAGTCAGAGCGCCACCTGGCTCAAAATGGCTCCCAATTGGCGTCAGCGCTAAAAATGGGTCTCATGTTCATGATAGGGACCATCAACAAACCCCAAGAGACAAGTTAAGTGGAGAGAAAGCCTTTAACTTTTCAGTGTTTGGAAGTCAGGAGCCTTTCCCTCAATAAGATTTTAGCTGGAGATTTCCTTTGAGCAGGGCTGGCCCAGATAGACGGGGATATGAAGATTCCTAACAGGAAAGAAGATTTTCCGACGACTTCCTATGATTTTCAGAAATTCCAGCGCGGCGGCCACCGGTGGATGCTATGGTTCCAAGTAAACATCTTCGCAGCAGCCACCTGTGGCTGCTACTGTCCCGAATGGGTTAAATGCCCCCATCTGTCCTTGCTTTTTGCTTTCACAAAATGTGACGCAATAACGTCTGGAGACACTAAAACCACTCCACAAACTTCAAATGTGAGGGTCAAGATTAATTTTCGGTAGCAGCACACTGATCTGCAATATGACTTGTTTGTAAACTTATCCACAGTAGTTCGCTTTGAATTCCGACGACTTGTGACAGAGCGAAAATTATAAACTTTCTTTCTGTGCGCGAGTCCGCCATTAACCCTTTGACTACTGGTGGGACACATGTGTCCCACTTTGTAGTCAAAGAGACTGTCACAGTTCCAGGGAATATTGAGGCAGGAGGGCTCATTTGATGGCTGAACTGTGCATATATAGAAGCTTTCTAACTCCTACTATGACAATTAGTCGTAAGAAGCTGAAGCGAGTCATCCTGCGTAAGTTAATATTTCACTACTGGTGGTACACATGTGTCCCACTTCGTAGTCAAAGACGCTACCACAGTTCCAGGGAGTATTGAGGCAGGAGGGCTCATTTGATGGCTGAACTGTGCACATATAGAGGCTTCTAATTCCTACTATGTTTCTAAGTTTTCAGAAAAGCTTGGCGAACGTGGCAGCTTTGAGTCTGCGGTAAATGGAGCTGGTACGCTGTGTGCCCGTTAGAAAGACTGCAGAAGAGGCCCTGTAGTCAGCAATTGTCACGCTTACTACAACGCATGTGTTGCGCACAATGAAGGATGGATCGCGAGAAGAAGTTTAATGCATTGAAGCTGTCTCCTTCTACAGCAGCATAATGGGCGGAGTAGATCTGTCTGATCAGAAATGTACACTTTACGACTTCAATAGACGTTCCAGAAAATGGTGGTAAGGTGTAAAATACTACAGGTGGCGGTTGTAAACGCATGGATAATATATCAGGAAATCCATCACGAAAAAACGAAGCTGGTCAAATTCCTTGTTCCTCTTGCTCAGCAAATGACTGCGCAGGGGAGGGAAAGGACGGCTAACAGGCGCAAGCCCGGCATGGGAAGGCCACCAAAAAATTCCAGGAGGATCATCAACGTTGGGGACCATATGCCACTACAGTTAAAAACCCGTCGGCGAGGTAGATACTGCGCGATGTCAAAGAAAGAAACTCATACAAAAATAATGTGTGCTGCTTGCAACGTGCCCTTGCGTATATAATGTTTTACTTCGTACCATTCATAGACCATATAATGTTGACCTTTTCAAACTTTTTTTGTAAAAGTTTTCGGGTCATTGAGGACTTTAATATTGTAAAAAAATGTGTGGTTGCAGAATTGCCAATTTATTAAACAAAAAAAATGGAAATGGTGTTATGACAAGACGAGCCGCTACCGCGCGCATAGTCCCTAGATCAAATCCCAGGTCACACCCAACGTACATCAGCCAAATTTCTATAGCTGATTACCTGTTGCTGGGAGGGATAATTGCAACGCAGAACACATTCATAACTCGATTCTAAAAAAGTCGTAGTCTAAGGGTCAAGCGAGCGCTCCTGCCTTGATTAATCCCGGAATTGTTGTGGTGCTTTCGTTTACGAAATGATGCAAATTTGTACCGACAGCAGTCAAGGCTTACTCAACTTCAGCTTTTTGCTTTTCTTTACCTCCTGTGAAAGGATAGAAGGTTAGGATACTAGAATTCATTTCAAAATCGATCGCGTCAAGAAATAACCCAATTAGTCCGTTTTTTTCTTTAGATAATTTTCTAAAAAGTGCAACCTTCATATAAATAGCTACAACTAACTTACGAATTGACGTTTGTGGGAAACAGTGGGCAAACTGGAAAACTATGAGTTTCGGGTTCTATAAGATCCATTAGAGGTACTAAATATTTCCTTACGATGTCAACTACCCTAATTTTTCTCTGTTCGAAATCTTCCTTTAGGCCTTGAAAAGTCAAACCAAGCCATGTGGTTGCTTACATCGGTACGATCCAAGAATATCGGGCTTCCTTTGGAGTAATAACTGCGCCTGTGAAGAATCGCGGAGCGATTTGCCGCAACTACTTTTATTGTGTGGTGCGCCATGATATGTTGTTGAAGGAGCGCTCATATGTTATACTCCTCACATACTGTCGCAACAACGAACGTTTTGGTACTAATCGTTTAGCGCTGTAAGCCCAAGCCTAGAGCTGCAAGTTCCAATCGCAGTTGTCATTTTCCTTGTGGTTAAGTCAATAAGGCTTTTCACACATTTGGGCTCTCTACAACGTCACCCATCCCGTAATCCTACACCCATGAAGACCTGCCGCATATCGATGTTGACCCTTGCGCATGCGACCTCCCCTCCCACCTTCCGTCAGCCAAATACGACCCTCTCGGTAGACTTTGACAAACGCACGACTGACTCTCTCTTGCGGTCACCAGGAAACATGGCGCGGACTTGTCCTAGCATTTCACTACGCAAGGCATTTCACTACGCAAGCTTTTTTTCGGGACACAGAGCCCTTGCAGCCAATGCAACTAACGATAAGAACATACAGTCAAGGCACTTACACTCCGTTTATCGCGTCACGAAGGCTATTTCCAACAAGCCAAGGCCTCCTATTCCGCAGAGATTCTTCTACTCTAAGATTGCTCTAAGCAACCAGTGCCGATATTGCTTAGTTGCTTGTATTTTAAGGCCTCTGACCAGCTAGAACCGCCTCGTTCTCTAGCTCAAAGCTTCAGTGGTCTCTTGGGATTTCGCGTCTCTTTCTAACAAAAGCAGGAGCACGGGGAATCAGAGACGAATTTTTCACTAGACAAGAACAAAATTATTCGCGAGACGTCCTAGTTCACGGCAGAGCAGCCATATCTATTCACGGTTTGGAGAACTGTTTAAAAGTCTTAAGGCTTCTGTATTACAATCACAACTGGGTAGTCAAAACTCAGGTCAGAAAATTATACCACATGCTGCCTGAAATACCTATCTCGACTTCAAATAAAGTGAGCTTGTCGAAAACAGAACGCTCAAAACAGCTACAGGAACGCTGTGCAGATCTTTTATGGCCTCCAAGAAACAGTTCAGAACATCAGAGCGATGTTAGAATGTTATTCTACAACGAGCTGTGCAGAACATGTTTGTAATCAAATGAGAACATCGCCATTTATTTCATGGTAAAATTCTGTGCAATTATGTAACAACACTACGTTTTGATTTCACCAATTCATTTAGATGTTGGAGAGGTGGCGTTCCTTTTTCGCTGCCAGTTCTCGAAATCTTTTTCGGATAGGGCGCGTCGGAAATGGTCGACAACTGAAAGCGGTGCGTTGTGATGAAGCCTTGGTCTCTCCCACACCAAAAGTAACTCACTGTCGACGCCGCTGTTACTGACGATAACGTGCGGTTGCGTTGTGCAGTTGGAGCCACCATGGTTGTTAAATGAGGTCCTTCTGGTGATTGGAGATGCTCGTGCCTAAATTGAGTGAGATGCGTTGGCTGAGGGCGCTGTCGCTCTGGAAGATGCTGTGATGGTCGTTGCACAAGGCTCACCTTTTCGTCATCGACCTTCGATCGCCTAGGCCATTTACCACTCAATGACCGTCGAAAATGTTCATGGACGTCATGTTCTCGGCTCGATGACACTGAAGAGGCGCTTCGTCGCACCGGTGGATGCCGGACTGGAAGAACCTTGATAAAGTCACCCCTTAGGCTACGAAATCCACTTATACACACAAAAAATCGGCTTTTACTTTAAAGCGTTCCTTCCGCTGATGACTCGCCGGGAAGATCAAAGAGCGCGTTGAAATTTTTCAGACTTTTCTAAGGGGCATTGAAAAAGGACATTCTGTCTCCACATTCAAACCAATTTAATCACGCTCCAGTGAATTCGAACCGAATGGTCTCGAGTTAAAATGAAAGAACATATCCCATTCAATAAAATAAACTTCATGTTGCCCTTCAAGGTAGAAGAAATCGGAAAAATTATTACTGAAAACATGGTGTACTGGTAGTGCTCAATGGGGCCGTGGACGCATCCCATACCGTTACGACCTCTTCTGAAAAGCTGGTTCCGAGGGGGTTATTCAGACTCAATATCTCTAGGGAACATCCAGCGATGAACCAATTGAAGTAATCAACTAAGAGCTTCGGGCTGGAGCATTTACTGTAGGTTCCCTTGAGCTCAACCACGATCGAAGATGATGTCATGTTCTGAAGACGATGAAGGCAGTGAAGGAGGGCTTGCGTCTACCAATAGAAGGGCATTTGAGGGATATTTTGCTGAAGATTTTTTTTTCAGCGACGACAATCTCTGCGATGAAAAAAACGCTGAGGTGTGACATGGGCAAAATGTCTTTTTTATTGCCCCCTCCTGTACAGTAGCTGGCACCAATACAGTGCGTTTGAAAAGAAGCACCCCTCTGCACTATACACCTATAACTCCCAAATGAGTAATTTCAAAAGAACTATGGAAGCTCACCTGTGGGACTTTCAATTATCACACTTGGTCGTGACGTTGTTGGGGAATACAAGGGCGTGGAACCTTTCAGAGACAGGTCTAGTGGCTGAAATGATAACATTTGAATGGAAATTGTGCAGGTCCAGGTCTCTAACGGAAACAACAGGCCAATGGAGAATTCTGAAATACCTCGTCACTCTGCTCACTGTCATGATCACGTATCGAAACTTGCTTTGTGGAGTGGGACAGACCGATCACATCCACGTCTGAGTCAACGATCTGTAAGAGATGTCGTCTTTGATATTTGAACTGCCTTACTCTATCGCACCTACAGCTTCCCGTGGACAACCGTCGAGAAGGGGTTGGGGGAGGGGGTCCATTGTGCTCTGCCTGTTCAATGCAAAGGATAAGGAAAATGCGTCGATAACGCCAAGGATTAGAAATTTAGTAGTACGCTATCGATTTGTCTGTTCGAAGCACTCATTTAAATAGAATGGATGAACCTATAAGGGAACCATCCTGATGCGGAGAATGTGCTCAGACATAAGGAGGAGGGTGGGGGAGGAGGAGGGAGGAGCGTCAGGGTTGGGTGAACCGCTGATCATGTGCAAGATAGTCGGACAGGATCTGGTACGAGTCAGGTATAGAAACCATTGCATCTTATCGCAAAGTCATTTCAACTGAGGTGATGACGCGTTATCAGCTCCCTTATCTTGAGAGTTAGAGATGTCCTTAGAGTGAATGACGCCAAAAAGCACAATAGAACCCATCCTCACCCCCCCCACCAACTCCGATTTCACGCAGCAAGCCATGTGAATGTTTGGAAAGTTCCAAGCTCGACCCTTCGTATCGTTCCAAGGTTCGTACATGTTTTCAAAACACAAATTAGAATAAATGAGAAAAACACAGCACTTATTTCGGTGCCGTGGCTAAATTGCCAAATAGGAGATTACGGTAGCAGTAGCGAAGCCTGCAATACTTGACCAGGCTAGCATCGCTACCAGCATCATCTGCGGAAGGTGCCAGAAATAACTTCCATGAAAAATTCTTATGTTAAAGTCCTCACCGCTGCTGTGTTATGCATGTCGAACAGAGGATGAAGGTTATGATATGGACGATGGTGATTAATCGAGTGGTACGGTGGTGGCGGTGAAATCACCGTGGCACTTGGAATGCTGCATGACAATAACGAACACGCCAGTGATGATGTCAGATCGGTCACTAAAGTCATGCAACAATTTCATTTTCGTAATCTTTTTGAAAATTGAAATAAACAGCAAATGAGACTCGCAACTGCGACCATGGTCAACCGTTCGTCGCACAGTTCGAAAGAGGAGGGGGTGGTCTAATTAGCTATTTTGCATGGTTAATTACCCCTGGAAGGGGAAAAGAGTTTCAGTATCCCTGGAAAAAAGTGTGATATGTGGGTTGTACTTGTTAGGATTTTCGATGAGTTATTCGAGAATTTTGCGGAAGTAAGGTGAAGGAGATACAATTGGTGGACTCGCCGCTTTAAATATTATACAGTTTACCCCTGCCCCCTTCCCCCTCACAGCTGTTTTGCTGTTTTGAAGTGCAGAGTGGGCGGAGTTGGGTGTGTCGGCAGGTCTCAGAATCAAATACTGTAGAAACAGCCATGGTGGTGAGGATGGAGATCGAGGAAGGGAGGGTTGCTGTATTGAGGGGTCTCCCAAGGCTGATGTTGGTTTTGGAGGTTCGCATCAAGACTCTTCTTAGGGGGGGGACGCAAAGACTCGGAAAAGCGCGAACGCGATGGCTGGCCCTGTACGCGACGAGAAACACTTTTTATGTATGAAGTCCTGCTCCGATGCTGTGGACCCTAACACTCTTAGTGACTATCAGCACGGTGAGTAACTTGCAGTATAGTGGTAGCAGACAATGTTACCTGGTGTGTGCGTGGCGGTGGCGGTGGAAGGCGAGCATGTCTGCAGCATTATGCTGTTGAGGGAAGCGATTGGTGCCGCCATCAGCTTGTGGTAGGAAGTTGTGTCGCTCACACGTGACATTTCGGATCTGGAATGATGGGCATGACATTTGGGAAGCACCCAGCAAAGGATTACTTCAATAAACACTAAAATGTAGCACAAATACAATGGAACTAGAGCATATGGGCACCTGCATGTCGTGAAGTTTGAGTTTGAGAAAGAGGTGAAGATGATGTAGACATTTAAGATATCCTTCAGTATTAAAGGCAGAATTCACGATGGGGAAGCAACCCAATATATGGGGTGAATGGTACATGGAGGAAGGAGAAACCACAAGAAACGGCTCAGAACTCGTGAAATGGGACCCCTTCTCTTTCCTTTTGCACATTGATGCGACCCTTAATCGCTGCGCCCTCTTCAGCACTACGCTCTCTCTGCTATCTAATCATTCGCCACGTATAGACCTGGGGCGAGTGATTAGATGGTCGGTGGGCGGACCTCGCCGACCGCGCCAAGAATGAGCCCTGCTACGTCGCCGAGGTAATTTTCGGTGCCTATTGCGCGTCAGTCCGCGCCCTCAGGAGGTCTTCAACAAGGTGAATTACTGGTTCTTATCTGCATTCTAATCATGAATTCCTTCGTTACTGTCGGTGCAGCCTCTTGTTTTCAATACTCGTTTATAGGAAAGGAAGCCGGAAAAAAGGATTTGATATTCAAAAAAAAATCTCCGTTTGTTTCTTCAATCCCGCCTTCACCTCGAAGAGCGGAACTCACAGAATCACTCCTCAGTGGAAAATAATTCCGTCAAAATCAGAATTCTATTCTTAGATTTATGACTTTGCATGTCTTCATTGTTGAGAGCGTTTTACGGCACCAAATCTGCTTATTTGTTATCATATAGAGGTTAACTATTGAACTACGTTGATGGTGACTCGTCATACCTACGTCATACCTAATCACATAGAATCTACTATACCATAGTCATAAATAATTGAACATCAGTGCCGTGAAAAAAAGGAAGCGAAGCCGGGCATAGACGAATCGCGATAAGATTTAGAAAGCCTTGTGAAATATCATAGTGGCTCAATTAGTCAGGAAATAAAAACCCAAAGTAGAAACAAATGCCAATTAGAAAAGGCTTCCAATCTTCTGTGGAACTTCGGATGAAGAACAGGCCAAATCGGTAAGGTTAAAAACCAGAGTCGCAAACATATTGACCCAAAGTGAAGTGAAACCAATAATGGACTTCCCAAACAGGATGTGAGCGGTCAAAGTTGGCCAGAAATAAATCAAAAAAGCAAGTTGTGGCGCCAAGCTGGTGCCAGTGGCCCGGCATCCAATTAAGGTGGATGTTCTTTGCCACCCATTTACCGGTGCAGAGCTTATGAGGAAAGGATCAGAGAAACCTGAAAACGCTGATGTGGACAGATTAGCTCGCTATGAATACTTGCGCTGCCTTCTCTCCCAATTTCACCACTCCTTTCTTGGTGGGAGCATTTTCGACTGAACCAGCTTACCAGAGTGTTTACTCAAAGTTACGTGGGGGTTCGAAGCCTTTCCTGGTAAGAGATGCCAGCCCACGTTGACATGCAGAAGACAAACAGTGGGGGTATCCCCTCAGTATCGTTTAAGAGAAGTAATGTGAGCTTGCATCTCACAACCACCAGCATGTTGTGTGCATACATTGCTGTATAGTGAGATTACTGTGGCTGGCCGCGATTACACATACTTGGTCCTCGGACGACAAAAAGGCTACGCATTCTGTGTTGTACATTCAATTTACACATGCATCAAACATCTGTCGTCCGAGTCATTTTTTATCGTGAGAAAAGCTTCTATCGCAACTTGCTCAAGTGGTTGCACTACAAGGACCTGATACAGTGATCTGCGAATAAGCCTGTCACACCTCAACGCGGTCGACAATGACTACAGAAACAAGTTACAAGTTCAACCCGTAATAATTCAGAAGTGAAGGTGTCTGTGTGATTTGCAAGGGAAGCCGTTTAATGAGGTTCAAATTTTCTGGGGCTGCAGTATATTTCCTGGAACAGTCAGTCCGTAATTGGCCACGAAGTCACGTTGACCTCGCCTTCGTCAGCTTTTAAAACGCAAAAACGAGAAAGGGGTGAAAGTCAATGTAAACTCAGGCAGAGGGCGAGGTCTGGGTCACATGCTCACATGCTCACGTGGCCAATCAACAAAGTGGCACTTAGCTCAGACCGCGAGCCCAGCGGCAGAAAAAGGGAAAGTGCGTAGGGATTGCAGTGACGCAGAGGATCGCGTTGAACGCGAACAAAATGTGCCGCTGAGTCCATTTTATTCACTCGACATGACCACCTGCGTCTCTGCAATCTCTATAGACGTTCCCCTTTTTATGCCTCTCATCGAGCGCGACTCTCTGCCGTCCTTCTGATTCGATAGGAACGCAGAGCGGCCGGTATAATCGAGTCGGCAGCAGTCGAAGAGGGTTCAGACGGCGAGAGCGCCTCTGCCAATAAGGTATTAAACGAAGTGATTACGTTAGAATTGTTCTGTCCCGAAGTCTCATGTTGATCTAAATGTGTAATAAACAATGTGAGACCTCAAAATTTTTTTGACGTCTCACATTGTTTATTACACATTTAGAAGTGATTACGATAAAGGAGCGCATCGGGGAAGATTATGCACCACACGAATCAGCTACATGGCTGCCAAGGAAGCGATCTGTGGCATTTTAATGACGAAATCTGCTCTGTTTGCTGAGCAGGACTTCGAAAACATTCCGCCCCCAAAAGTGATCCGCGCACTACTGCTAGCTGGTGATTAGGACGAGCTGCGTTGCCAGCAGCGGCACAACTGGACTCAGATGGAGCGGGGTATAGCATTGCGCCACCTAACGCGTTGCGGTGAACTCGTTCATATGACTGCATTTTAAGCTGTTACCTATTCTTTTGTGAAAATCAACGGTCGAAAAAGGGGGCAGCGTTTTGCTTTTTCTTGACGGGTTCTCTGGTTTTTTCGCCACTGGCTTACCATTGAGCACTACCTCGACTCTCTGAACCCTTCCTGAAACTATTGTAACTATTGTATTCTAACTCGCTGCCTTCAAGATAAGGGAGGATTTCAATTGCCGTCGAGTCACCATAGGTTATCCCATTGCGCAGACACGACAAATGGCGCAGCGCCTTCGTTCTACGTTGGCATCGGTCGCGGGATTATCACGTGAGGACCTGAGGTCTTGCAACCCTCATGGATTATTCCCTTGTTCTTTGCACCTCCTTCAAAGTTAACCAAAAGTGCTTCATAGTGCAGTGGCAAAGTGGTTACGCTCACGAGACGTTGCATCAAAAGATTCAAGTCCATGAGCGACGCAAGTTTTGCTATTAGTGCGGGGATATTCGCTGTGCCGAGCAGGGTCATCTTGCGGTCCCGCCTTCTATTATTTCCCGAAAAACATTACTAACATACAAAAGAGTCAAGCCAGGTTACGTTAAGATGATATCCAAAAGGGGTTAGATTGGGTAAAAACGACGCTATTGCCACTTGAGGTGTCAATCGTCCAGATTCCATAGTTGATATTGCTGTCCCATGCGGTTTCCCTTGAAGCACGTTCCAGATGTTTATACATAAAGCCGCAAATCATTCCAACCATCTGATTCATACCAAGTTTGAATTGATGATAGCATAGTGACACATTGTTTGCCGGCTTCATAGGAATTTGAGGGTGATTCATTTCTGCCCTTGGGCTCACAAACATTCGTACACAGAGGCGCATTGCAGTTGGTGGGCAACATCACATCCACAATGCAATTAGTGATTTTCTTTTCAAAAGAGATCGAGTTAGGAATTTATGATGGAGTCCAACAACAGAAGGAACAACTACTTTTGGAGCATGTCGAGTAAAGGTTCTTTGATTCAAGTTGGAAGATTATTAGTACCATCTTCCTCCCCTTCGCATTCAAGTTTATCTATGCGCGATGAATGGCGATGTAGCTAAATCTATCCATGGATGTTGACCACCAGTCAGGCTCATTTGCCCTATGAGCTACGGTGTTTTGTAATGGAGCGTTCAGAGTTGACGATTGTACGTGCGATCAGGCGATGAGTCGACTAGACGTCTAGCCGATCGCTCCATAGGCACAGCAACAAATCAACACATATGCTCCCCTTACTTAATCGCCTAATCGCTTAACCGCCTTATCGATTCGCATTTTTTCTTTTGGAATCATCGTCTGATCGCATAATCGCATCGCACATACGATCGCCAACTATGAACGCCTCATTAGTGTGAGGGGATGGATGGGGCACTTTGTGACTAGGAATACTACATTGCACAATACGTTCTTGTCTCGACCTGATTCAGGGTGAGCGGATGGAAATGTAATTTGGGGGGGGGGGAAGCACTCAAAATATCTAATAAAAGTGAGTTGCGGAAGGGCACTCATAACTAATCAACATCCAGACGCAGGCTTTAAGTGTACGATAAGGATACCAACTTTGGATTCCGTGCAATATCGGGTGCCTGAAAGACACTTTCTTCGAAGCATTCGCAAGAAGATTTGTTGAAATGAAGAGACAGCAGGTAGCAAAGTTGCATTCTCGCTATAGACTAGCACGATAAGGGTATCTATTAGTGTATCGAAGCTATCGTAGGGTTCTCGTCTCGTTTTCAGTGAAAAATATGATGATCATATATGACAAGATATAAGTGCCTTTTCGCAACTTTACTTTGATTAGTTATGTCCCCCCCCCGAAACCATATTTTCACCGATTGCGGGGCTATTCGGTAACAGTGTTGAAGCGCAAAACACTGTCACATCGAAAGATCTTCGATCTCTCGTTTTGTTCCTTCCCTTGAGGTAGGACTTTCTGAAACCCGCGTGTCAGAACATATGGTGAGAGTACTGTAACTGAGGTGGCAATTTCTTCTAGCTGATTAATACTACGCCTTAGCGACGGGCGTTACAAGTGCAGGCAGAGAGAGAGAGAGAGAGAGTATGCGAAGTTCTTTGATCGCGCTGTAATACGAACAGATGGGATAGATAAGCTATTTACAAAACAGAAACTTGTCGCACTTCGTTCTTTGACCGCGCATTTCATGAACGAAGGAGATGAATGAAATATGAAAATGAATCATCCTTAGCGAATAATTCCAAGGACCGCATTAGACGTGCAGGCATCGATTCCATAAAATGGAAAAGTCACCGTTCAACGTAGAATAATAGAACTAATTCGTCGAGCTACGGTGGGAAGTATTCTTTCAGAATAGAGATATAGAAAAAAAGAAGATGAATAAGAATATGAACATGAATAAATAGCATATTTTACCTAATTTATAATATGTAATCAGTAATGCATAGTATATCTTTATAGCGATTCCAAAACTTTTCTTCAATGCTTCCATATTTTCAGGATAGGAATAGAATCGGAGAAAAGTTCTTTTCGCGTGAACGTCGTAGCTGTAACTGGAAGTTAAGAACGCAGGGGGCGGGGAGCCGTGAAAAACTCGCCTTCGTCGCGGTTTCTCAATTTCTCAGGTTTTTCCAAGCATTCCACTCGTTCTTGGCTTAAACGTTTGCGTCAAAGGAAATAAGCATCTTTCGGGACCATCTACCAACCCTTAGAACTTCTTTTTTCTTTGCGTATCTCTCATAGGAAGACCTTGTATTTTAGAAAGATTAAATGGCACGTTTTCGTAAATGGAACACGATAGAGAAATAAAAAAGGAAAGAATGAAAAGGGAATAAGTTTTGAAGTTGCAAGACGTCTCTCTCCCTCACTTGCCGTAACTGAACACGTATTTTGTCCGGTACGATGCTCTGCGGCCGACAGCCTATGACTGTATTTCAACTTTTTCATAAATTTAGTGATAAATGGATCACGGGGACAGGCTCCCTCGGGGGTAAAGCGCTCCGTATTCCAGAAATTATTCCAGAAATCATCAAGACATAGATCAAGCGAACAGAATTCAACATCAATCAAGGCAATCAACACCCCTGTTATAGCATTTTCATAACAATGGGCGAGAGATAAACAGAAATGTAGACTTTATAAAAGAGTTTTGTTATTATTCAATAATTTAGTAATTTAAATTTTAATGATTAAGTTTTGTTATTATTCAATAATTTAGTAATTTAAATTTTAATGATTAACTTTGTAAATGTAGTTCTATCAATATGAATGATGTTTTTGAAAATCCACACAAGTGGCAAATTTTCAGGTCATCATCCAGAGTTTTTTGGCCTGAAACCGTTCCCTAGTTGTTCATTTTTTGTTAGTAGATCGTGTTCAAACTTATATTTTTTTTTCGTGAAAAGAAGGTATGATCGCGTTGAAGCGTTAAAGTAGGTGAAATTTTGTCGTGATGCAATCAAAATTCCTTTTTATAGCGTAAGGGATATGTTAGACGATTTCCAATTATTCACGCAAGGCGTTTTGAAATATATTGAGTCAAAATCAATAATGGAACTGTTTGAACTAATAAAAAGCGATAGAAGAAAGGTCGGAGATGGTTAAGATGTGGGACGGACAGGATAGTTGGAGCGATGGTGGCAATGCGCGCACGCGAGAAAATACGGGCTTCCGCTGGAGGAATGTGGACGGGCGACAAGGTCGCTCACAGGTCGCAAATTCCTGCGATTCCTGAACGAGTGCCAACGCAAATACACCCCACAATGATCGCTTCCTCAAACGTGATGAGGCTAGCGGAGATGATTTTTAAAGGGGAAGTATGCCCCACTTCCAAGCTCCTCCTATCACTATGTAGAACTTGAGGTTTCAA